GATTATAATTTAGATATGATATTTTATTTTATTAATTAAATTAAATTATTTTATTTAATTTTTATTAATTTGGAACCTGTGCCATATGCTTCCGTTCTTCTTCTGTGCGTGGAGACATTGAAGCACTGAGCTTGAAATGAGGGGCCAATGGTGTACTTACAGCTTTGGTTTTCCTATTTATGCCAAATCTGTCTAACACCTTTTTCAGATACTGGGTTTGTGTTAGACAAACCGTGCCCTTCTTCCTGTCTCTCTTGATCTCCATGCCAAGAACTTTCTTTGCTTCTCCCAAATCCTTCATTTCAAACTCCCTTGCTAACTGTGCCTTGAGTTTGTCAATCTCCACGTTGCTCGTAGATGCAATCAACATATCATCTACATATAAGAGCAAATAGATGAAGGAACTGTCGGGAAGCTTACGGAAATATACACAATGATCAAATTGACTTCTTGTGTATTCTGTCTCCATCATGAACCGATCAAATCGCTTGTACCACTGTCTCGGGGATTGCTTCAATCCGTACAACGATTTGTTCAGCTTACAGGCCCAATTCTCTTTTCCAGCAATTTTGAAACCATCTGGCTGGGACATGTATATCTCCTCTTCAAGATCTCTATGTAAGAAGGCAGTTTTAACGTCGAGTTGGGCGAGCTCGAGATCAAACTGTGCAACCAAAGCTAACAAGATGCGAATAGACGTGTGCTTCACAACAGGTGAGAATACCTCATTGCAGTCTATTCCTTCCTTCTGAGCATAGCCTTTAGCTACCAATCTAGCTTTGAATCTGATGTTGTTTCTGCCTGGAATGCCTTCCTTCTTGGTGTAAACCCACTTACACCCAATTGCTTTCTTGCCTTTTGGAAGTTGCACCAACTCCCAAGTCTGGTTCTTGTGAAGTGACCCGATCTCTTCATCCATAGCCTCCTTTCATTTGACACTTTCTGCATTATGTACGGCTTCTTTGAAAGTGCAAGGAATATTGTCTTCAATGATTGGAAGTGCATAGGCTACCATATCGGTCATCCAACTGGGTTGCTTAGTAACCCTTTTTCCTTTCCTGATTGCAATGGGTTCTGATTGTTGCGGAGCCTTTGGATCTTCATTTTCATCTGAACTCTCTTCAGAGCTATCCTCTGAGACTTCTTCAGGATGGTTGATTGGCTGACTAGTTTTTGCTGGAGTCTCAAACTCCACCTGCACTGACTTCTTCAATGCTTCCTCATTCTGTTGCGGATCTTGTTGCTTCAGCATTGCAGACTCATCAAAGGTAACGTCTCTTCTGATGAGAACTTTCTTTGATTCAGGGCACCACAGTCTGTATCCGTTGACACCGTCACCGAAGCCCAAGAAGATGGCTTTCTTGGCTCTTGGATCCAACTTAGATTCTGTAACATGAAAATATGCTGGACATCCAAAGATACGTAACTGATCAGAATCAGTAACTGGGACTCCTGACCATACCTCCATGGGAGTCTTCCCATCTAATGCTGCAGTAGGTAGTCTGTTGACAAGATGACGAGCATAGTTCAATGCCTCGCCCCAAAATGCCTTGCTCAATCCAAAATGTGACAGCATACACCGGACTTTCTCTACCAAAGTGCGGTTCATGCGTTCTGCAACTCCATTCTGCTGCGGTGTTCCAGGAACTGTGAAATGTCTCACTATCCCTGCATTCTGGCAAACCTCAAAGAAGGGATCTGATGTATATTCTCCACCATTGTCAGATCTGAGCTTCTTGATCCGTCTGCCTGTCTGGGTCTCAATCATCTTCTTCCACGTAAGAAAGATGTTTAAGACTTCATCTTTGTGTTTCATTGTATAAATCCAAACTCTTCTAGAGAAATCATCAATGAACGACACAAAGTAGTGTTTACCTCCCAACGAAGCATTCTTGGAAGGACCCCATACGTCGGTGTGGACGTAGGCTAGAATCCCTTTGGTACGGTGAATTGCAGTACCAAACTTGATTCTTGTTTGCTTGCCCAATACACAATGCTCACAGAACTCAAGCATCCCCGTCTTGGCGCCTTTCAACAGGCCTTGCTTTACCAACCCTTGTAAAGCCTTCTCACCGACATGCCCTAGGCGCATGTGCCAAAGTTTGGAAGTGTCTGATGCATCATCTTCCGAGCTGGAACTGGTGGAGACAGCCACTCTCCCTGTGACTGTAGAGCCATCTAGGAAATATAAATTTCCCTGTCGAGTACCCTTCATTGCAACCAATGCTCCTCGAACAACTTTAAGGACTCCACCTTCCATGGTTACTCTGTAACCTTTGTAGTCTAAAACTCCCACTGAGATGAGATTCTTGGTTAGATCTGGTACATACCGTACATCTTCAAGAATTCTAATTGTTCCATCATGGATCTTCAGTTTAATTGTTCCAATCCCCTTTGTCTGGCAAGCTTGGTCGTTGCCCATCAGCACAACTCCTCCATCGAACTCTCATAAGCTCGAGAACCACTGCTTGTTAGGACACATATGGAATGAACATCCGGAATCTATTATCCATTCATCAGACTGGCCATATGATGAAACTGTGAAGGCTCCTCCTTCATCATTATCTCCATCTCGTGCAATAGTCACCTTCTCTTCTGTCTTGTCTTTATTTGGACAATCTTTTGCCCAATGCCCCTTCTGGCGACAAGCTGCACACTCGTCTTTTGCAAGACGTCTTCTGTCTGATGATTTTTCTTTGGATTTTGAGCGAGACTTTCCTCGCCCTGTATTTCTTCTGTTATTTGTTCTGCCTCTGACTGTTAATGCCTCGGATGTTGACCATCTGGCTGGGACATGTATATCTCCTCTTCAAGATCTCCATGTAAGAAGGCAGTTTTGACGTCGAGTTGGGCGAGCTCAAGATCAAACTGTGCAACCAAAGCTAACAAGATGCGAATAGACGTGTGCTTCACAACAGGTGAGAATACCTCATTGTAGTCTATTCCTTCCTTCTGAGCATAGCCTTTAGCTACCAATCTAGCTTTGAATCTGATGTTGTCTCTGCCTGGAATGCCTTCCTTCTTGGTGTAAACCCACTTACACCCAATTGCTTTCTTGCCTTTTGGAAGTTGCACCAACTCCAAAGTCTGGTTCTTGTGAAGTGACCTGATCTCTTCATCCATAGCCTCCTTCCAATTAACACTTTATGCATTCTGTACGGCTTCTTTGAAAGTGCAAGGAACATTATCTTCAATGATTGGAAGTGCATAGGCTATCATATCAGTCATCCAACCAGGTTGCTTAGTAACCCTTTTTCCTTTCCTGATTGCAATGGGTTTTGATTGTTATGGGGTCTTTGGATCTTCATTTTCATCTGAACTTTCTTCAGAGCTATCCACTGAGACTTCTTCAGGATGGTTGATTGGCTGACTAGTCTTTGCTGGAGTCTCAAACTCCACTTGCACTGACTTCTTCAATGCTTCCTCATTCTGTTGAGGATCTGGTTGCTTCAGCATTACAGACTCATCAAAGGTAACGTCTCTTCTGATGAGAACTTTCTTTGATTCAGGGCACCACAATCTGTATCCCTTGACACCGTCACCAAAGCCCAAGAAGATGGCTTTCTTGGCTCTTGGATCCAACTTAGATTCTGTAACATGAAAATATGCTGGACATCCAAAGATACGTAACTGATCATAATCAGTAACTGGGACTCCTGACCATACCTCCATGGGAGTCTTCCCATCTAATGCTGCAGTAGGTAGTCTGTTGACAAGATGACGAGCATAGTTCAATGCCTCGCCCCAAAATGCCTTGCTCAATCCAGACTGTGACAGCATACACCGGACTTTCTCCACCAAAGTGACAAAATGGTAAGAATTACAACACTCTCTGTAATTCTCTCTCTCTCTTTGCTCTCTAAGCTCACACCTCTCAGCTTTACATCAACTCTCCTTAGCTTCTCTATATATAGAGATTACCAATGCTAGAGTAATTGAGCTGGCTGCCAGCCCATGTCGGTGGCTTTCCAGATTGAGGCTTCATGGCCTCATGGCCTCATGGCCAACTCACATGGCCTCATGGCTTCCCCACCATGTAGCTGGCTGCTACTTTCCTTCACATGGCTAGAATCTGTGGCCAACTCAACAAAACAAACTCAGCCTTAAACCTATTCCTACATGATTCCAACTAGTAGGGCAATTGTATTGTCTTTGAATGGGGAGATGTATCTTGTTTTTGGGTTGCCTTGTTAGCCACTTACTGTGTTTATGTTCTCTGAACAAATGTATATTTAGCATCTCCTCATTTCTCTCTCTTTTGTTACACCAGTCCTCGCAGGGGATGCGTTCATCGAAGTTCTGTCTAAATCCTGCAGGAGACACGCCTTCCTCTTGCCGCCTGTTTGATGCTATCGCAAGCCACTGTGTTCCTGTTATTGTGAGTGACAAAATTGAACTCCCCTACGAGGATGAAATCAACTACAAAGAGTTCTCTGTTTTTTTCTCTGTCAAGGAGGCGTTGGTTCCCGGTTACATGGTTACAAAGCTCCGGGAATTTCCTAAAGAGAGATGGCATGACATGTGGAGGCGGCTCAAAAATGTCTCCCATCACTTTGAATTCCAGTATCCCCCGAAAAAGGAAGATGCTGTGAATATGCTATGGAGACAGGTAAAGCACAAGGCTCCCGCGGCCAGACTTGCTGTACATAGAACCCGGAGATTGAAAGTGCCAGACTGGTGGCGCCGAAGGAGATAGCTTGGAGGCTGCTTTTGCAGACATAGGTGTATCGCTTTTTCATTTTTTTGAACCGTGTATTCTAAGATTTTTTGATGTTTTAAAAATAGGTAGAAAAATAAATGTAGGCAAGGATTTTTGAATTACAGATATGCATGCACCAATACTTCATGCATATAAAATGCAGAGCTTGAGTTAAAATATGTATAGCAAATGATAGAGCACTTCAATACATTATTATATCTTTGAATCAAATTTGTCTTCAAAATTTTTCTCATTCTCGTAATTGTGTAATGTATTCTTGTTCTTATCTCACCATCTAGGCTTTAGTTTGCAACTTTTTAAGTTTGACACACCAAGTTGCCACATCAACTCTTAACTACTTAAGCATGCTTTATTTCTATTTACCATAGCAATTTGAGTAGTGATGTGAATTGAAGGATTGAGAGACACCCTTCCCATAGTGCCCCTGTGGATTGAAATCCAACATTCTCAAGGAAAAGTGTGTGTGTTTTAATTTTTTATCATTTAGTTTTTTTTTTCCAAGAAAAGTTACAATGCAGTTATATTAAAAGAAAAGCAAGTATCATACAAAACAATAAATTTACACAAACTGCAAACTGAAAGAGTTATGTTGTGATGTTTGAAATAAACTCCACTTGCTAGAATTTCAGGAAAAAGGTAAATGAAGAGTATTTCAAGCTAGGGTTTGAGATACAAATACAAGAGTGAATTTTTCCATTTAGTTCAACATCTTAGTTCACTTCACCGTCTTATGTAGAGACATTATTCCCTTGACAATTAAACATTGGCACATTCATTAATAAAAGAATTACATGGAAAATAATAAAAAAAAAAACAATACAAGCCTCTAGTGATTAAAAAATTCTAAGTGCACATGTAGAAGAATTGCTAGTAATTTTGTATTATCTATTTGTCTTTGACATGAATTTGGATCCGATGCCATGAATTGTTGAGTATCCCTCTCAGGTTCCATATGACTGCCACATTTTCAGGCTGGACATTTGCGGCTGTGTCAACTTGCCCCATCATTGTAAGGAAAGATAAATCATGCATCAACGAACAATTGCGAAACATTGTAAACACAAGCAAGAAATCACTTCACATAGGACCGTCAGGTTTGGTTGCATTAACTGTCAGAAGGTTCTAGCCATTTGCAAGGTTTAGCTTTGACACATCTGTGGTGGAAATTATACCTCATATGTGGGTTGTGTGAAAAAAGTATAGCTAGCAATTACTTACAGCTTTGGCAACAATCTCTGTATTGTGGAGGACATGACCTTCAGCTTCAAAAAGCACCCATGCCCATTTGTCACATTATTTATCATCATCAGCAATAGCATTATATGGAATTCCACTCTTTTGGTGTCTGGATGCTTCCACCCATGCCTTGCCGCCATCAAATGATACATCGAGTCTTTCAATGCCGCGCCCACCTCCAGACATTGCATATCCGTGAACTTTGACCTGCATCATGACGATGATGAAGACAAGGATGAGTATCATATTGTCCACAAAGTAAATTATGTTGTGGAACTGACAATTGGGTGATCAAAGTAAAAATTTTCAATCATACATAATATTTGTGTCCAATGGAACCGTGTTTGAAATATGTTACAAACCTTTCCATGCTGCACTGTATTATCATCCTCCAGTGAACAAATTGCACTCTGCAAATTAGTCAAGGATGTTACAAAAGTTCAGCAAG